TGACTCAGCCCTCTGAGCGGGCTGGGACAAGGTGAGCTGCCTTCCTCTGCCTCAGAAGCATCTCCTCTTCTGGAAGGAGGCGGAGGCTGTCCCGGAGGTAGAGGCTGTCCATCCAAGCTAAAGAAACGATACCTCTCCACAATGCCTGGCACCGAGACCCATGAAAACCAAGCAGGAGACGTCTAATCAAAGATCCCATATTCTGATAGCTATGGTCTCCTTCTAGCACGGCATGAACATTTCCCAGGCAGCAAACCCTCATCTGAAATATGGACACGGTGGTTTATTTGGTTTGAACTGGTTTTCTTAACAGCCTTGTCTTTCACAGTCTCACTTAATATAGTGATAAACAGATCGCATTTGGGGGTCCTCCCAGAGCAAGCTCAGTCACCGGCATTCTAAGACTGGGCAGCAGCGGAGGGTGTTGAGAAAGGAGAGGGAGGCAGAGATGGCAGGAGCGGGAATGGGGCCAGGGGGGCCTCCGGGGCTCTAGAAGGCAGAGGCTGTTAGCACATGCTCGTCACACCCTTCACCTTACCACAGATGATCTGGAGCTTTCTCCCAAATGAGCCTGTCATGTGGCTCCTTTAACTAGCTGAGGACTGACATAAAATCCGGAGTGGGCCCCAAAAGTGAACGGAATTGCAGAATGGCAGTTCTTCTCATGCGAGGTTCTCCTAACATAATCCTTCACCCTCCACTCATTTCTCCCACAGGCCAGCGTCTAACTTCAGAGACCCGCGTGGAATGGGCCACGCCCATAGCCTCCACCTGCCAGCACTCCCAGACTTGCTGCTCCGGCCAGGATTAATGCCTGTGACCTATTGGACCAGAAGTGTGAGGGCCTGTCGTGAGCCAGAGATGTACTTTACAGTGCACTTTAATGCTCAGAGCTGACGACAAGCGCTGCGATTTATTCTTCAAATTCCCCCGGCACCGTTTCCATCAGTAACAGATCGCTCCCCAAAACAGTGCAGCCTCCTACAGAAACTGGGTGGCTCCGTGTCTGTCTGTCTGTCTGGGGCCAGTCCAGTGTTTGAATTAACAGAGGACAAGGCTGTGCTCCTCTGGAGAGACACAGAAACGGCGAGCTTAGAAAGGCTCAGAGACAAGAATTACGGGCACCCAGTTTGAAAACTCACACATTCTCTGGTTCCTCTGGGAAATGAGAGTCTGGTTGTGAAAGCGGGCGTGGGCATGCGCAGATGCTCCTTGGTAACCCTAGGATCTCACTAGCTGTTAGACCTACAGTGGAGGCGCCTGGAGAATGCAGAATCCTGTGCTCTCATCCCAATAACCTTGGGAGCCGGGCTGGAGTTCAGGTGAGACTCCTAGCTCACTGGCTTGCTCTTTATGTTTATAAAGCAGCATTGTAGCAGAGAAACTTATACAACGATGACAATCACTTCTGTACTGGTTGATCCCTATTCAAGTTCAGGGTTAGGTAACCACACATGTTATAAGAGCCTTTGATTTGTGTTACATTAGAACATGCATTTGATTTGAAAATATTATTTTAGAGTATGTATGTATATGCATGTATGTATGTATGCATGTCATTTGTGAAGGTGCCTGAGAGGCCAGGAGAGGGTATCAGGTCTTCTGCAACTGGAGTTACAGGTGGTTGCGAGCCATCTAACATGGGTGTTGGAAACCAAACTCAAGATCAAGTGTTCTCTCAACCATTGAGACATCTCCCCAGCCCTGATGTGAACATCTCTTTGGAAAATGCAGTCAATTAAATATTGATTATCAAAGGCGCCTGCCTGGCTTGTCAGTCACAGGCAGTGAATGCAGCACCGAGGGTTCAAGCTAGAGACAGAATAAACCCTCCCTGGAGCATCCATGACCACACGCAGTGTAGTCCAAAGGCCAGGGCTGTAAACACATTAGGCCATGCCACAGCTACAAATAAGCAAGAAGACACAGACCCAACTGCAGCAACAAGACAAACACAAATCACCTGCAAATATCGGAAAAGACCTCCAGCTTCTCAGAAGCAAGGGAAATGCATATACACTTGCCCACATGGCAGAAACCATTCTGAAGGGGCTGGGTGTGCAGCTCAGGAATAGACCTTGTGCATCCACCAAAGCTCCTTTCTCAACCAAAGCTTTCTCCAAAGGCGAAGAACGATTTTCAAGGTAATGAATGCCAGCGGTAGAGTAGCACTCCCACCATGAATATAGCTTTTCCAACTTTGCACTGGTGGAAATAATAAGAGCCAGTCAAAACTGAATGCGCTTCCCAGCCTGGTGCTATAACTCGTGGCAGTTTGCTTTCCGGGTGGCTCTATAGGTCCGCACATGGAAGTTCACTGTAGCATTGTTTACAATGGGAAAGTCAGGATCGGGGTCAAGAGAGGCTATGAAAGAACAATTCCGATGCCCGGCATGAGATGTGGCTGGATAAACCAGGCTGCAGGTTCCTCACAGTCCTCCTCCCACCAGGTGCTCATAAGAGGGATGAGGTCAAAACGTACAAAACGCGGTTTGTGGCCATCTTAGTGCATCAGTTAGGAGGTAAGCCTGATTCTAGAATTGTTGACACACGCAACAAAAGACAAAGCATTGCTCCGACAGCTGGTACGGAGTTCAGTTTTAGATATTACACTAAATATGCATCAGTGGATACACACACACACACACACACACACACACACACACACACACACACATATATCTAAAAAAGCCTCTGAGGTCCAGTCCCAGCTGTCAAGAGCGCACATCTTCAGGGAGAGGAATACAAATGTGACAGGGCAGGTGGAGGGAAATATAACTTCTGTTGTTGCTTTAATTCGCTCAGTTATTATTATTATTGTTATTTTAATGAAAAGCACTGCACAAGGACGAGAAGTTAGGGAGGAGCTGACCCAGCCTTGCTGTATTTATTCTACATCGCCACACTGATTTCATTCTTGTCTTCCTGTGGCATCGGCCTCACCGGTCACCAGCGGTCCCACGTTCTCCTGCCCCCACCACAACCCAATGAGCTAGAGATGCGTGTTCTCATGGAAGGCTGCTGCCGTGGCCAGTGTGGCAGATCCAGCCTCAGGACCCCGCCTTCCCAGTTCCGAGCTGCTATCAGTCCCATCTATTACTTTAGGGATTTGCTTTCTTTTTCTTTTGTGGCATTTCAGATTCTTTTCTTTTTCATGCTACACTGGTTTCAAGTTATTTCTAAGCAGGAATGGTACATCTATGAAGCAGCTTGAAAGAAATATTCTAATAATTGAATTAACCAAAAATTAACGTACTTCCCCTCTTGCGGGAATTCCTACCCTCCTGGCTATTCTGAGAGCATGTGCTGGTTATGAACTCCTTCGTCTTGCTCTGAGTGTGTTGGTTTTCTAGCCTCAACAAGTCCATTTGAGAAAATGAAATACCAAACACTTTCCAGTACCTTCCTTTAAAACAAGAAATGGCTTTGGTGGTCAGAAAAAGAAAAAAGAAAACATTACACAAACCAGCAGTCACCAAACAGCCAGCCAGAAAGCACAGGGGCCAAACATGCTCTACCACAAGGCAACAGGACGACCAATGCTCACACTCAAAACCTGGAGAAAAATTAGATTTACTCAAGTACTCTTCATTTCTTCCGTTCTTTCCTTCTCTTTCTAATCATTTCTTAGATTTTTTTGTCACTTATTTCTTTGTGTGCAAGTGAGTAGGCATGCATGCCACATCACACGTGTGGATGTCAGAGGACAACTTGTGGGAGCCTGCTCTTTCCTTCCTCCTTGTCAAATCAGGGACTGAGCCCAAGTGGTCAGGCTTTTACCTGACAGGGCAGCTTTCTCAAACAGGTCTAACAACCCCTATTCGAAATGCCTGGGACCAGAAATAGTTCAAGGTTCGGATCTGTGGTGGTCTGAATGAAAATGGTGCCTCATGGACTCTGATGTTTGAACGCTTGGTCCCTAGTTAGTGGGACTGTTTGGGAAGGATTAGGAGGTGTGCCCTTGTGAGAGGAGGTGTGTCACTGGGGGTGGAGGCTGAGGTTTCAAAAGCCCATACCAGGCCCAGTCTCTGTCTCTGTCTGTGTCTCTGTGTCTGTGTCTCTGTGTCTCTGTCTCTCTCTGTCTCTGTCTCTCTATGTCTCTGTCTCTCTGTCTCTGTCTCTGTCTCTCTGTCTCTTTCTCTCTGCTCGCTGCCTATGGGTCAGGATATCAGGATATAAAGCTCTCAGCTACTGCTCTGGCACCATGCCTGTCTGGTCCCTGTCATGAGGATTCTGGACTAACCCCCTGAAACTGTAAGCAAGCCCCCAATTAAATGCTTCTTTTAATAAGAGTTGTCTTAAGTCACCACATCTCTTCGCAGCAAAGGAATAGTAATTAAAGAGGTTTTTGGACTTGGGGACCTTTGGGTAGACATCACCAATTGAGGATATTTAATCCCCAAATCTGAAGAGGTCTAAAATCTGAACTTTTTGAATTTTTGGATTAGCATCCTCTACCAGTATCTCTTATACAGAGTTAGACATCAACACTTGAATTTCTACCTAAATTAATATTTTATAGTCTCTAATGTGGCCCCCCACCCTGTTTTAAAAACTAGGTAAGAAAAACATAATGAAGTATCTAAAAATATAAATTAGAAGAAAAAAGCATAAAACATTAAGACACAGATGGTTAGATTATAGTTCTCCAGGTCATTTGTCATTCTTGGGAGAAACTGAACAATGGCTTCAAAAATGAATGATGTGGTCTGGCCTAAAGGTAAACCGGGAGGCATGCGTTTGTATAAATATATCTTCTACTAGACACACACACACACACATGCACACGCGCACACACACACACGCACACACTCACACACACATGCACACACTCACACACACTCACACACACATGCACACACACTCACACACACATGCACACACACGCCTGTGATGAATAAAGGTGCAAGGAGAAAGGCTATACGAGAGAAACACCACAGGAGATGGAGATGGAGAGCACGTGCCACAGCCCATGCAGAACAAACAGGACACCAGCTCACCTGAGTCCTTCATGGGGCAGAGAGCGCACTGCATGCCCCATGCCTCCCCATAGAGACAGCAGCACTCGGTGTACGTCGTCTGCTTGCCCACCAGGGGACGGCTGCACACGTACTCCTCACTCAGATGCTCCCAGCACAGATCTTGGTAGACATCAGTTTCTTCTATTTGTTCTGAAAAGGAAGACATGGTTCCATGACAATTGCACTGTTATTCCCATTTCATCAACACTGCAGTGGAAGCCAGCAAGTTCCAAAGTTTCCATCCCTACTTCTATGGGCAACTTCCAAGGGACAGTTTCAATTCAGCCTGCTGTTTCCACAGATGACATCTTTGTCTCCAGCTGAATGCGGCTGCATCAGCTGACACTTCACCCGGGTGAATGCCGGCCTCCAGAGTGCTCTTTCAGCATATAAAGCGCCCACCGTCTTGCCGTCCCCTGATGGGCTTCCCATTCTTCTGATCCCGTCAACCTCCACTGCCTCTTTCCATATCCAGGGTTTTCTGCTCTTTTCATTTGCTCAAACCCCAGCCCAGTAACACTCCACTCTAGAATGTTCAACTCTAGACTTTCTGCCTTTGTTTCAGCTGAAGGAATCTCCTAAATACGAGGGGTGACTGATTGGTCATACCAATAATCAATGGCACACCACATCCTCAGACATTAGCGGGGGCTCCCATCTATGCAGGTCAGGGGTCTTCACTTTGCTGAACCTCACACTCTAGTTCTGTCTAGCCTTATCCATGCCATGCACCCTGGGCAAACACATTATTTTTCCAGACCTCTCATTTTCCTCTGGAGTTTAAGTGCGATGAACGCTCAGGTGGACCAGCCCTTCCACGAGCTGGCTCGGCACCCCTGTACCCTGGTATTCCCTTAATGGGAACTGTGGGGGTTTGAGAGAACATGGCCCCCAAAGGGAGTGGCACTGTTAGGAGGTGTGGCCTTTTGGAGCAAGTGTGGTCTTGATGGAGGAAGTGTGCCACTGTGAAGGCAGGTTTTGAGGTCTCATGTATGCTCAAGCCATGCTCAGCGACACAGATCACTTCCTGTTGCCTGATTAACAATATGTAAATCCTTCTCCAGGACCACATCTGTCTGCATGCCACCATGTCCTGCCATGATGATAATGGACTAAACCTCTGAACTGTAAGCCAGCCCAATTAAATGTTTTCCTTTATTAAGAGTTACAGTGGTCATGGTGTCTCTTCACAGCAATAGAAACCCTAAGTAAGACAAGTACATACAAAACAGTAAATCTACACATTAACCACTTATAATCTCATTATTTCTCTTAGTAGCTCTCTTAAATTCTCCAAGATAACCATGGAATTAATGACCCTATTTCTGAGACATTCCTATTTTAATCAAAAAGACAACCTTGAGCATTTATCTGGATAGACATTTGTATCTCACATCCAAACATACCATTGGATTCAGTTGGCTGCACACATCTTTTCTCGGAGGCATCCAGTACCATTGGGTGAGTGCAAAAACAGTTGTAAGAGCCCTCTGTATTAACACACTGGCCATCGATACAACTGTTAGGGTCTTGACATTCATCCATATCTTAAGAGGCAAAAAAAAATCACCAAAAAAAGTCAGCAATCATTTGTGCTTCATGCAGTTACAAAAATTAACAAGCTGATAAACTCAGTCCAGATCCCAAGAGCCACCACGTTTGAATTAACTACACATCATCATTCATAGGGGACCCTGTGACTGGAAAGACAGTCACCGAGGAAAAGCGACGTACTACTGCTGCTATTCAATATATAAAGGAATGGGACATGCTTAGAAACTTAAGATAAATGGCCTTTTTTTAAAAAAAAAAAGAATACTTTTACAATTATTTCCTTATGCTGATTTTTTCTGCCTATAGTACATGGTTTTCTGCTTAAGGGTTAAAGTCTGTTTGAGTATTTAAAAATGTCCTCTGCTTGCATGAAAGATCTGACTGATGGAACAGGAAGCTCTACAGACTAGCAGAACTCTGCGGTCACATTGGTGACCTGGATTCCACGACTATGAACTCCTTGCCTGACACCCATTCAAATACAAGGATGAAAGGATTTCATTTCTCAAGTCTTGCTCAAGAAAGAGATCCACAAAACACTTGCCTTTTAAAGACACATTTAGAAATAAAATTTATAAATAAAAATTACACCATTTTTATTTCATAGCATTACTTTTTTTTTTACTGTGCATTTTCCCAGCACACATTACTATATTCTCTTAAAGCTTACCAAAACACTGTAATTTGACGGGATCATAGTATGTCCCTTGCTTACAGTAGCATTCATACCCGGGCTGAGTGTTCAAACAGTAACCATTTTTGCAGATTTCCTCCCCAAACAGCAGACATTCATCAGCATCTATGGCAACAGAAATAGGAATATGTTTTCATTTTTACTTGAAGAAGAATCTAACCAAAATATGGTCTTAGATTAGATATCACTATGCTCTAAAGATTCTTATGATATAGAATATAAAATTCTGAAAATTGGACCCAACTGACAGATGTGGGAAAGTGATGGGGTGTGGTTCTGATGCCACCTCAGAAGGTGGCACCACAAGGTGAGCTTGTCTGTGAATTCCACAGTGGCTCTCAGAACCTGCTCTAGCATAGTCCTCACGAAACGGGCCTTTCTATCTGTGGTGTATGTTGCCCCATTTACTAGCCGGGACTTACAAAATGCCAAGAACTATTTGATGGACAGGAAGGTCTTTTCTGGGGAGGGAGGGAAATCCGTGGAATTGCAAGTTATAAAGGGGGTTGGCAGGCCCACTCCCCCCACATAATTAACCCTTGGCCATCACAGTTGGTTCCACGATAAACTGGGCAAAGCTGGGCTCACCAATGTAGTAGGTTTCCGAGGATAAATAAGATAATCTAGGTTAAGGATTCTGGACACTCTGAGGTTGCCTGTTCAGAGCTCATGCCATCTAGCTCTCATTTTGAAAACTGTTAACACCATGGAGGACATGCTCAAGTTTACACAAGTGGGAAATGGCCGTGCCAAGCACAGAATGTATAGTAGTAAGGCCCCGAGTCCCATCTTCTTCCATCACTTGAAGCGCCATTAGGAGGAGGGGCTGGGTTTTATATAAAAGAGAGGATGACTTTATATAGTAAAACTGAGGTTCATAACACGAAGTGAAATTTAACTGCATTCCTGTAAAAACAGAGTATGCGATATTTACAAACTTGGAAACCATTCAACACGTACTGCAAACCAAGTCTTCTAATCCAGTTGGACTAAATCATAGATGTATTTTAAAAACACAAATGGAATTTCTTGTCCAGCTACTGAATTAGTTCATACCATTCAAATACTAGCTTTCCAAAAGTAGATGGATAATAAAACCATTTTCATGGTCTCTTTTCCAGCTACTTTCCAGTTTTCACTATTAAGCTATAATGGAAAAAATTACCTTACATATATAGTATGTCATAATAATATCTCTAATATGAAACTGTCAAAAGTCAATTAATGAAGAAATGTTCATATATATAAACATTCACCATAATAAACAGGTGAATAAACATTTATTTATTCAACAATAGCATTAAGGGTATAAAATACCCACTTTCATTTTCCCATTTTCTAGTTTTCATTATGAATCTATGGGCATTAGCAAAATAGTATAGGAAGAGTAGGAAAGGCTATTAAAAAAAGTAAGAATCGTAGCTTCATAGCCAATCATAAAGGGCGTGTGATAGTCAAACTTACGTGCTCCTGATTTATATAACTTGGAGTGTATGTCTAGGTAAAAGAATACCTCCTGACATCAGTCTTTTGTGGGAAGTAGTTACACACATATTATTTCATTGAAAGTTCATTGTAATTCTGAAAACATTCCTGTTTCAGAGCTGAACAGTTGGAAACTCAGAAGGTCACATGACCTCTTGAGGTCACACAGCCTCTGGGATTCTGACCTCAAATCGGAGCTCTGTCCAGTATCCACAGAGATCTTCCTCCTGGGATGGAAGAAGGGCGTGGCCACCAGTTTCCACAGCCCAACGGAACTCTACTACTGTGTAAGCCAAGCCAGGCTCCGGCCCGAGTGAGGACACATGCTGCAAACTGATTGGCACTTGACACTGACCTTTATAGTTCTCGCCACCAGTGTCGAAAGAGGCTTCTCCAGTGGGGACAAATCCTTTCCCTCTAGGGCACATTTCCGCGAACTCAGCTGATTTTAAAAGAGACAAAACCAAAAATAAAAAGCAATGAGTTGAAAACAAAGCATCTACATTTCCTCGCGTGCATGTTTTTAATCCAGCTTCGCCTTCTCAGACTCAGAAACTTTTAAACACTCGAACAATAAATCCAGCATGCTCTCAAAGTCATGGATTAGGTGAGAAGATGGCCAACTCTAGAAGCTGATATATCTTCTCTTCTTTTTCTTTTCCTTTTTAAAAGACAGGGTCTTACTGTGTTGCCTTGAGCAGCCTATGATTCTTTAGGCAAACTGGGCAGGCCTTGAACTCACAGAGATCTGTCTGCTTCAGCCTCCTGAGTACCTGAATTAAGGGTATGCCCCACCATGCCTGGCAACTTACCATATTCCCTACTTTACCAATGCTTTATTTGATATCATGAGTGCTATTTTTGCATTACTATGGTGGTTAGTGTTCTGAAGGTTTAGTAAGAGCCCATACAGCAACAGTTTGTCTTAAACACACAACAGTGCTGTCTGTCATCAGTGTAAAATAGGAAGAATCTTGGGAATTAGAGAGACATGGCTCATCACTTAAGAGTGCTCCTCAGTCAGGAGGACAGGAGTTGGGATCCCAGCACCCACATATCCTCAGCTCAAAGAGGGGACAGTGGCAGGAGGATCACTAGGGCTTGCTGTCTTCCAGCCTAGCTGAGAAAACTTGAGTCCAAGGTTCAGGGAGAAACCCTGCCTCAAAGCACTTGGTGGGAAATGATGGAGGAGGGAACCTGGTTCCGAGTACCCAAGTGGGCACGTTAATCTACGCGTGTAAGTGAGCATATGCTCACATGTGCACACACACAAGTAAATAATGAAATCGCTCTTATTTTAAAAGGAAATAAAACCAAATTATCTTTTATAACATCCTACAGAGCCTGGCTGTAACAGTGCATCCTATGACAGGCAGAATTCAAGAATTCATATGGAGGTGGGAATTAGGGAGACATGGCAAAGGCTCTGGACTGGAGGGGAGTTCACTGAAGGGCAGGCTCATCTGAGTCACTAACGCAGTGAATTCTACCTCGGGACCTCAAAGTCATAACCAGGCCAGTGAACACCATGTGACCAGTCAGCAGATCTTACCTGTCCCCTGGACAGGGCAGGGGAAGATCTCACAGTTGTCGCCCCAGCCAGCACCCGACGTACAGCAGCATTCTTGTTTGGTGACATTGGGGGCCAGCACATTATCGCAGAGACTAGCATCATTGAGATTATAGTAGCATTCCTTCTTTTCTTCCCTGGGTTGATGATTTACACCAGAATCTAAAAAGTGTAGAGAAAGAACATTGGTGGGACAGTCAAGTAAAAATCACGACAGGACAGAGACCATGGGCATGTGTCCCTTACATGTCCTCGACACGAGATCTGTTCCATCTTCAGGGTCTGATTCTCTCACTTTAAGATAAACACACACTTGAGTCCTGAATTTTGGTAGGTTTCTAATACACTCCAGAGTATAAATCTGTCAAAACCATTTCCTTTTACTTTAACCAATTACTTTATTCTTGTAAATTTAGCTGTGAGAAGTTTCCATATCTGCTGCTTTCTTTGCCAACTGAGGACCATTCTTTATAGATCTGTAACACCTACTTATGTTATTGAAATTTTCCCCCAGATGGGACCAGAGATCTGGGACCACATGTAATAGTTAACCCTTTGGCAGTTATTTGGATCAACCATGCCCCAAGTCAGTTCTGAACAGCGCATATTGGAAGATACATAGAAAAATAATGCAGTAACCTGGAGCCCACAGAACAATCTTTCATCCCTGAAAATGCAACTAGTTAAATGATGCAAATATATAACTCAGAAGGAAGCTGTGAGCTCCAGCAAAGTTGCAGTGTAGGACTGCAAGTCTGGGTTCAGATTCTGTTCAGATGGGCCCTGAAGGAAGACATTTTCTAACATTTTCTCTATGACAATACACTAACAGGGTGATATGGAATAATGTACATGACAAGAACAAATTCTACTCATTTTCAGAAAATAAAATATAAATAATGGCATGGTTAGGTTTGAATTGATTTACATCTTTGATTATTCTATTGTGACACAGCTTGGAAAGTAACATGATGTCTTCAACCAAATGCTATAGAGTTTGAATGATCACCTATGGCCCAGTTGGAATTTATCAATTATAGTTTTTATTTTATAATGCACAAAATAAGAGCTGGCAATGGCTATCCTAGCTACTTAGCATATTATCAACACAATGTCTTCATTAGAGCTCTATCGTTTTGGATTACTAGGTCCAAAGAAACCACAAAAGAAAATACTTATTGTTGAAGTTGGTAGGTCATGATATGAGAGACATTTAATAAGCTATTTCATAATCATATGCAACATATTGGTTTTGTCAGGGTCAAGTTGACCCTCATGAGCTTCCATACACTAAGGAGTTTAAGGGCATTTCTAAAGCAAGAGTTCACAAAACGTCATCAGGAAAACTATTGCCTTCCTTCCTCTTATGGAACAAGCAAAGAATCAAACAGACCTTTCAGATCCATGATACCTTACAAGCCAAGGAGAACACCAAAGATCCTTCTAGAACTTTACATGTTGATTCTCTCTTTGACAGATTTTGAGCTTGGACCCTAAATTAGTATGTCCAGCAGGTGGTACCCCAACTAAGACCAAGAGTCTAGGAAAAGACTAAGATACACATTCCCATGAGTCAGCTAGGAAGTAGTCTCAAATCAGTCCTCTGCCTGTAGTCTGGGTAAGCCCACAACTACCCTTGCCTGAACTTGATTGCTTCTCACATGTGCAGGATAGACTTTTATTCCTGTGTTGATGGAAGCCATCTTGGTCAGAAGGGCTCCAAGTTATGAGGGAAAACCAAGAATAGCCATTTAAAATTATGATTAAGTCAACTCCAGAAACCTTATAAGAAAATTTATAAGTGTTTCCTACAATATTTTCAATAAATTTTCAATGTTACTGTTCAGTTTTATTCTCAGGTAGGCTAAAAATGATAGCTATTAAGTAATATATTTAAAACATAAATCAGGAAAGAAACACTTTTATAGGTGAAGTTTAAAATAATCAATAATATTTTCTTCATGTACAAAGTTAGAGTATGTCTGATTTATTTTAATTAAATGTTGTATTATATAAAAGAGTCCCAATGTTGATAATTAAAAACAATAGGTTTCATTCCAAATCAAAGCACAACAAATTATATGTATATATATATAATTTATATATAGTACATGTTTTGTGTTCCCTGTTTTTACATTTGCATCACAGCAAACAACAGAGTTAGTTATCGTTGTGTTCTGACTTGCACTGGAAGGAGGTAGAGATTATTACATAAGAGAACTGATCAACAATACAATTGTATTATTCAGTTCTTTTCAAATGCTGCCCTTATTTTCTTTCCAAGCTGTTTGAGAGTTCAGTGTTTACACAGCTGAAATGGAGAATCAGGCGAACCTTCATCCGTGTTGGAAAGAAATGCAAATTCTTTTCAAAAACTGATCCACAAAGGTCATTCTGGGAAAAAAAATACAACATCCCCATCTCCCAGACCTTTAAACGATCAACTTCCTGGAGCCTTTTTCCACTGAAGTAAAAATATCTGATCAATGTGTGTGTGTGTGTGTGTGTGTGTGTGTGTGTGTGTGTGTGTGTGTGTATGAGAGAGAGAATGTGTACATGCATGTGTATACACACACACACACAGTAGACTTTCTGAAGAATTTCTGTGAGTTTAGATCACTGTTGCCAGGAGCAGACAGGTTCCATTGGAAAATGATTTTCTACAGTTAAGTCAGCAGTTATAAAACTTGTTAGGAATGAAGTGAATGGTTGTCCTTTTTCTTAAAGACTACTGGTAAGACTGGCCATGCCATATCCAATGTCACAGACTTCTAGGAAACATTACTTCTCTGTCATTTTCAGATTTGATTTTCTCTTTCATACTTGTTACTTGGTCTATCATTTGGGTATGAAGATCAGTATACACTTTCATCCTAGCTGTATGTATAGGGGTAGCAAGAACATTAACGGGGTTTTGACATTTTTACACTGATGTTTCTTTTTGTTTGGTTTTAGTGACAGGGATCTACAGGGCCCCATGCATGCTAGGCCAGTGTTCTACCACTGAGCCACACCCCCAGCCTCGGGTGGTTCTCGGGTGAGGCATGGAGTAACTACACTCCATCTTGGGGCAGGTAATGGCATCTTCACCTTCCGCAGGAGGAAACCCAGGCTGGCACCCAGTGTCCATCTCTCTGTGGGATGTAACATCTTAGTGTATCGAGTTTGCTTGCCTTTGCCCTGCTCTTCCTTTTCTCTCTTTATGATGAATGAGGTGAAGGCACAGGCAACCCTTGCTGGTGTGGAGTCATCTGCATGGCCTCCTATGGCATGGGCACGGAAGGAGGGACCGGAGTCGCTGTGCAGCCTGCAGAGCTTTTGAGATAACTCTTTTGGCTCCGCCAATGAGGGGTGGATGTTCACTTGTAAAGGCTGCTTCCCTCTTTTGTCTTTTTAAAACACGCCAGACCCTAGAGTCTGCTGATGGGGTGAGATGCTCTAGAAAGTTCTTATTTCATCTATTCAAAGTAGAAATGGATCTTGTGTTCTACTCCCATTGCATTTGCAGTGTTTTCTGAAGGTCTCTGCAAGCTGTTTGCCTCTGCACGGCTTAAGCATGCTCGCCATTCTGAAGGTCAAGGCCTGCCTTTCTGCATACCGTTTAGAGACACAATCCTCAAAGATGTGGCAGAGGGGTATACATAAAAAGCGTCCAGTGTGGACTGCTCATAGTCCTGAGAGGATCTGTTTATCAAGCTCCATAGAGGTTGATGATGTTCAGTGAATTACTTCTCACAGAATGACCCCAGGAAACTCAATTCTCTGCTCTAGTTGGAAAATTCCACCAGGCATTTGTGTTTTATATCACCTCATGTTTTGAGAGCAAGGCAACTCTATGGTAATATTTCAAGACACAGTGAAAATGGAACTTGCTAGGCAGTGGGAGTGCCCGCCTTTAATCCCAGTACTGGGGAAGCAGAGGCGGGTGGATCTGTGTGAGTTCCAGGCCAGCATAGTTTACAAAGTTCTGGAACAGCCAGGGCTATTGCACATGGAAACCCTGTCTCAAAAAAAATGCAATTTAAGAGATGCCTACACAGTGCTTTTCTAGTTTTCTCACTTGAGAACTTGCAAAATAAGGAGAAAGGTGTCATTTGTTTTGAAAGTGGAACTTAGAAGAGGGTTGTGGTGAATTCCGGAAGTCACCAACCACAGGAATGTGAAGCAACGTAGAGGAAAAGGTAAGACTGCCAAAAAGGTGGTGTGCTTAGATGGGGAAGATAAATATGAGATCTAGGAAGCAAAACACAGAATACATCACTTAAAAAAGCACACTGGCTGATGGAAGAAGAGGCAGACTCCCACGGCTAAGCACTGAGCTGAACTCAAGAAAGCCAGTAACAGAGAGGGAGGACTGATGACCAAAGGGATTAAGACTGGGCTGGTTTAACCCCCCAGAAACAGCTGACCTGACAAGGGTTATCTCTTGAATCCCAGGCTGATGCCTGGGAATCCAGCATGGGACTGATCAAGGCCCCTGAATGTGGGTGTCAGTGAAGAGGCCTATTGAGCCTTGGGTAGTAGATCAGTATTTATCCCGGGTATACAAATTGACTTTGGACTCCCATCCAACAATGTGAGATGCACTCTCACCCTGAACTCTTGGGGGAGGGTCTAGGCCCTGCCCTGGATGAAATGACAGACTATGGACACCCCCATGGAGGGCCTCACCCTCCCTGGGGAAAAGAGGGGATACTGGGAGGGCTGGGGGGGAGGGTACAGGAGGAGGGGAGGGAAAGGGAGAGGGACCTGGAACTGACTTGTGAAGCAACCTTGTTTCTAATCTAAATTTAAACTTAAAAACAAAAAGCACACTGGCACAGCTGCTGTTCACTCTTTGTTTTCACGACGCGGGTGTCTTCTGTGTACGACTTCTCAGGAGGCTGCCCTAGCCCCCGAAGTGCGGGCATCGCAGGCATGTGCCACCAGAGCCAGAAGTTCCAGTTAAAGAGCTGAGTGTGATGAGGAGTCAGGCCAGCAAGCTGTGTGCACTGAGCTGCAGCGTTCACTCCCAGACATAAGTCACACCTAAGTCTCCGCACTGGCAAAGAGCAGCCCAGAGAAGGCTATCACAGAAGGCTGCCTGGCAGAAGTGACAGTTCAGTTTAGTTTTTGAAAGATGGATTAAGAAGAAAAAAAACCCCCACCATATCAGGGTATGATTGGGCATAAAAATAAACCGTTCCTGTATTTGTGTGGGTAGAATGCGGGGGTGTGGGGGTGTGGGGGTGTCAACAGAAGGCATTTCAGCTAGGAAACTGGGTGCTAATTAGGATATCTGGTCAATAACCCCGTAGACTGTGACCCTGAGAGGTGAGAATGGTCCAGAAATGATTTAATGGGTGAACAGTGGTGTGTCAGGTGGGGAGTATGGCTGTCCTTGCGCAGGTGCTGGAGTAGCTTGGCAGCGTTCTGAGAGAACTACCGGAGGACCTAGCATTTTAAAAGCACAGGACAAGCAATTGTCACAATGGATAAAGTTCTTGTTGTTGTTTTCTGATGGAGACCTAAGAAGTCACTGGAAAGATGATGCCTAAAACATTGGCCATAAATGACCTACTGCACTGCTAATGGGCATGGGCTTTCTGTTAGGCCGTTTTGTTTGGGTTTTGTTTGTTCTGGTAAAGGCAGCCCAGTGCACACAGCTTGCTGGGGAAGGGGAGTGTGAAAGAGAGCTACAGGCTGAAGAGAAGGTAGGCTGAAAACATCGGCCGCATTAGCAGAAACTGGAAAAGGTGAGGAGAAAAATGAGCAGAAACAGATGAAGGAGCAAAGTCCCGACAAAGCAGGGTTGTATGGAGAAGAAGCCTGGGAGAAGGGCACCCTAGGATGACTGTGAGCGGGAGGCACATCCCGAGAGGCAGGGAAAAGCAGAGGTCACACCAGCACAGGCTCATCTGGACCAAAGGGACAGGCATCAGAAGTGAGAGTCCTGGACCATGCCAACAAGGCCACATTTGAAGTAACAAGTACAGTTTCCAAAAAGCTTCATGAGAGACACAGATTTATACCTGTTTAGACCTAATTTATAGCAAACTCTGGGATGGAAAAGGTATGCTCATCTAGTGGTGTGGGCTGTTAGTGGGAGATGGTTGTGTGGAAGCAGCTGCCATTTGCACGCCCCTAAGGGTCGATACAGGGGCAGATAGCTCTGACTTCTCGGTGGAAAGAGAGATGGCCAACAAAACCATCGAGTAGACTGTGATGAGCAGAAGTAAAGCACAGGTGGGGACTCGGCCACAGGACAACCTCCAAAGCAGATGTGGGCCAATGCTCTCAGAGGAAGGTGCTGTGTGCTGGCAGGGGGTGGGGGTGCATACCTTAGGCAGAGGCAGGCGGATCTCTGAGTTTGCAGCCAGCCTGGTCTACAGAGCAAGTTCCAGGACAGCCAGGGCTATACAGAGAAACCCTGTCTCAGAAATTAAAAAAAAGGAAGAAAGAATAAGGAAGGAAGGGAGGGAGAGAGAGAGAGAAAGAGAAGGAGGGAGGGAGACAACATGCTATTGTCTGGCTTCTCCCTGCACATACACAACACATACTTCCCCCTGCACATATGTAACACATAACACACACACACACACACACACACACACACACACACACACAGAAATAGTAGAATACAGTTGACAGTAAGCTACTGGTTCTGATTACCTTGTGATACCAAGAAGGCTTTCTTAATCTCTAGTCTAAATGGGGAAAAAAGCTGAGGAGACGGTTCAGTGGTTAAAGCACTTACCAGGCAAGCTTGAGGGTCTAGTTCAAGGCCCCAGAACCCAAGCAGTGAGTGACCTGTAATTTCAACCTCAGTATGCAGAGATGGCAATCACTAGGGCATGATGGCTAGCAAGACTACCAAGAGAGTCCTCCTCCATGAATAATGTGTAAGAGCAATGGAAAATGATTCTTCACACCAACCTTGTACACACACACACACACACACACACCCTATACCCCCACACCCTACACACACACCCCTATACACACATACACACACAACCCACACACCCACTACACACCCCCCACACCCTACACAATCACACACACACACACACACACATACACATACACACACACAAGAAAATACTTTTAAAAAAAGAAATACGAAATTTTAGGCTCTAGACATGTACTCTAATTGTGACATAAATGAATCACTTCTTGATGCTATTAAAACATTCTAGAAAAAACAATTGTAGTTGAAAATGTCCATTCTTTAAGAACAGACCACACAAGGACATAGATTTCCCTCATATATCTGGGATACAGCTCACTGCAACACTTCATACTGTACTTACCATTCACAAGTGACACTGACTATATGATTTCACTCAAAATTTACAGAGTTCTGTGAAGTAAATGAAACATCTCTACCTATTTTATAGATGAGAACCCCAAACACAATGATATTGAGCTAACCATATTTACACAGCTAGGAAGAGGTGGGTGAACTAGACTCTGGCTTTCCCATTTAAAAAATTATAGATAATATGGAAAAACCTCTAAAATTTCCAGAAACGTCTATGATTATCTTTTCATATGTTCTCACCCCTCCCTCTATAGAGCATCATCTTTGGAATACCTTTTTTATTTAACATTGTATGATATGCATTTACTTTCACCACGACTACCACTCTTCATAGAGATGAATGATGCTGTAACATAATATGTGCTGTGTTAATGCATTTCAAATAACATTGTGGGTAAGGCTTTACTCTGGAAATGGAACCAAGGACAGAGAAGAAATGGGCAGTGCCGTTATTTAAGGCTAACCAGACTTTCATTTTGGTTTTTGGTGCTGTAGGTTACAACTAAGTAAAAGCCTTTACCATATAGGTTTCCTGAAAGTGGTTACTAGACTGAACAGCAACCCTCTCTCAGTGGTAACCTGCCACTGTCCCTTTAAATGATATGTTTAAATCAGTGTCCAATTAATTCTGTACCCTTTCCCTTTCCACATTTGATCGTTGAGAAACATGTATGGATAAAAATATGTCACACTTCATTCCCCATGACATACAAAAATAATTATTTTACACAGAACAAGTGTCTCCTCTACTTGAATAGTAAAATCAGTTATGAGATGATGGATAGATAACACTGAGATTTAACCAGAAAGTAAAATAGCCCACATGTCATTTTATTTGGCTCACAGGGGACCTATTGGTCTTTTGCTTCATAAAAAACAAAGCAAAACAAACAAACAAAAAAACCCACACACACAACCAAGTGACAGCTACGTGGCACCAACTAAAAGGGTGACCTTCAATCTGGAAGGTGATTAATTTATCTGGAAGGCTGTCAGTTCTCCATTTCAATTTATTCAGTGACAACATGGCCTAAATCAAATTTTAAGCAAATGTAAACATAGGAACTCTCTAAGGGCCAGCTTCTGGCAAAAGTCTCAAGAATTCCGAGTGGAAGTCTTTGTAGACCCTGAGAGGCCAGTATGTTGCTTTTAATTTAATGAAGCATCAGGACAAGCTTCCCCAAGAGCCAAGAAAGGAAGCTTATGTAACTTGGTGAGCTGAAGCCATGTTAAACACCAGCTGATAGCATTCTAGATTTTAGGCTATTCCCAGCAAATGTCCTCATCATCTTGAATCCTTTATGCATGGTGCTTCTGGGTTGGAAAGAACACTGGAAGCCCCTTAACCACAACAGCCGTCACCTGCATCTCATTTTACTGATAATGCATAAGAAGAATATGGAAGCTACCTGTGCCAATTTGACGCAAGCTGAAGTCATCTGTGAGGAAGGAACCTAAATTACCGAAATGTCTCCAAAGGCTGAACAAACCATGAGGAGCAAACCAAGAAGCAGCACTCCTCTATGGTCTCTGCGTCAGCTCCTGCCTCCAAGTCCCTGCCCTGACTTCCTCCATTCATGCATCGATACCTGGAAGTATAAGCTGAAGCAAACCCCTTCCTCCCGTGATGCTCTGGTCATAAGCTGAAGCAAACCCCTTCCTCCCGTGATGCTCTGGTCATAAACTGAAGCAAACCCCTTCCTCCCGTGATGCTTTGGTCATAAGCTGAAGCAAACCCCTTCCTCCCGTGATGCTCTGGTCACGGTGTTTCATCACAGTAATAGGAACTAGGGCATTTCCAGAGGCAGGATTGTGTCAGGACATGTCCTGTCTCATTCACCTCCAGGTCTAGCCTAGGCCTGGGTCAGCCCCATTTTCAGAGACACCCTCCAACCCTTGCACAGTGCCCCTGAGACTTACCTTCGGTGGCCCGGGAGCGGCACTGCCCAGTCATGGGACTATACTCTTGGCTCTCGTCCGCACATACGCACAGGAAGGACCCTTCCACGTTTTCACAGAAAGCCTCTCCACATACACCACTGAGCAGCTCACACTCATTCACATCTGGGAAAGGGAGTGGAGATCGAGTAAGATGTGTGTGTCTCCTGACAGCTCTTTACCTGCGGTGCCAAGGCCAGCGGTGGCTGCTGGAAGTAAGCCGACTTCCGGCAAGCCCTCAGCTCCATCCTACCCAGGAAAGGAGTCCTGCAGGCAGAGCTGGACAATTTGGTAGGGAATGAAAGGACGGTGCAAAAAAAAAAAAAAAGGATACAGTTCTGAACGTCAGTTCTAGTTTTGGGGAGCATAGCATGAACCCCTTTGACTATGCGGCACTGTCCTCCTGGCTTGTCGGCAAATTGAACACATAAGGGACCCAAAGCTCTACTCCTGGATTGTAATTCAAGGAAAAGCCAGAAGCATCGGCATTTGGGCGACCTGAACTTAGATTTTAAGATGCAAGGTTTTGAAAACATACTTCCATGTCAGAAAACATATTTCAGCCTAAATTAACAATAGACTTTGGATCACAGGCACAAGTGAATATTCATCAGGGAACATTGATCAGTCAGGTGAAACCAATTGGTCCAATAACTAGTGACCAATTCCACTGTCTTTCCTTATTCTGTGGATGTCCCCAGAATAACCTCTACCTTGACGAATGTTTCCTTTGCCTATACATAAATCCATATAATTAAAGCAAAGTCAACAGTTTTGCTTAACCCAAATCTGTAGTTTATAGGCCCCAAAGAAAGGCTATTTCTCTTTCTGTTCCTAAAAAGTTTTACTGGTGACCTCCTCAGTCAGCAAAGTACCCAACTCCACCCTGAGTTACTCACAGCTCGTTGGAATTAACACGTAAAAATACCAGCTTTCATAGTCACACCCTGAGAATCTTTACAAATTTCAAAATGCAAGCAATTACCCAACTCATCCAGGAGTGGGAAAAAACTGCCTGTTTTCACTTGTATACCTAGTTTGTTTTGTGTTTTTTGGGGGGAGGGGTTGTTTTGTTTGTTTTGGACAGGCTTGTGGATCTTGAAGTTTCAGACCATTACCTAGTTTTTCCATTTCACTTGTCCATAGACCGATTTAAACCCAATAACCTGAGTTTCACTTATAAAAAGATGTGGTATCATAAAGCAAAGTGGGCTTGAAGTCTTTAATCAGCATGGTCATAATTTCCATCAGAAAAGTTGACTTTAGAAATTGGCTGGTTCACATTTGCTAATTTTAGGTACATAATATGAAATGAAATTGTAGTTTCCAGCTTATACCACCAGACTGGCTATCGAAAGCTCTCCTTCCAGACTGCATTCATCTGACCAAGATGTATGTCTGAGCTTACTCAAGCAGGCCAGGGCCTTAGGGTCCCCATGTGGGGGTGGTTGAGTCAGGCTGGCCCAGCTCCTGCCTTTATAGAAGTTAGAGTCAAGTCAGAGAAATTAGTAAGAAAAATCCTACAAGCAGAAAATGCGGAGAATTAAAGGAACACACCTCCGAAAAAGCATGCAATAATGATTCTGCCATGCAGGGGTATATTAGAGAGCCGTCATTTGAACCCAGATTCCAATGATGAACAGATGATGGGGGATGGGAACAGGCCCAGGTAAGAGGAAACAGAACAACCAGAGACCGGATCCACGATTTCATCTCTGAAATGTTATGTGATACTCTTTGAGGAGAAGTACATGTAATAGGTACTCAGCTAATATCTCCTTTAAAATTTTGATTATAATTATTTTATGTGTATGGATGTTTTGCTTGCATGCATGTCTGTGCACCATGTAGATGCCTGGTGCCCTCAGAGACCAGAAGCAGGTGTCAAATAACTAGAGTTACAGATGGTTGTGAGCCATCATGTGGATGCTGGAATTGAACCCATTTCTTCTGGAAGAGCAGCCAGGGCTTTTAACCAGTCCCTAGTTAATACCTCTTAAACAATGATTTTTAAAAAATGTACTGAATTTATCAAAACAACAGCCATCACCCATTCTCTAAGAGTGGTGGTGCTCTATGTGCCAGACTGGAAAATCAATACAGTTCAGGCACACGTATTAGTGCCTTTAGAATGACCAGTAAACAGGGACTTTGGAGCCCTGTGGAGTCAACATTTGCTATTTCAGTGTTAAACAAGCAAATAGCACATACTGAGCCCTTGCTGTAGATCAAATGTCATGCCCAGGGGAGATTAACCACAGCGGAAGGAGCAAGTGACAGCCAAGCGAGTGACCAGTGGTATGGCCAACCACAAGCAGCCTAACGTTACTGGCATAGGAAAGCTGAGGAAGCCAGGAGGAGCTCACATCAAGACCGGTGAGTGAGAAGATAAACAAACCCCACCAGTATTTTCTTGCTACCGGGGACTGAGCATAGGCAGTCCTCTTATATTTTAGGTACACGTTCCATTGGTAAACTATGTTTATTTGTTAAATTTTGATTTTTTAAAACAGGGTCTTGTTACCCAAGCTGGCCTTCAACTTACTTAGAATCCTTGGGCTTCATCCTCCAGAGCAGCTGGGATGACAGGCCTGCACCACTAGGCCTGTCTCCATCGCCCAAGATAGCCTCATAGGGTAATCTTAGCTGTATCGTTGGACAGCTGTTTTCCCTTGTAGTTCCTAAATAATGACCTGTGGCTTTTGATTCGGCAACTGTTCATGCAAATTTGTGAAAACTGCATGGTTGCTTCCTGAATGTTTTCCTGTAATTAGGAAGTAACTGAGCTTCCATAACGAATACCATAAAAGTAGTTACAGATCGTCCAGGTCAGGTCTGGATGGTAAACGACCTGGTGCTTGACTGGCAAATTTCCAAAGCAAGTAAGTCACACTGTCTTCGCCTGGAATGGCACCTGCCTTGTGGCAAACACAGGTCTTTTCTCAGGAGAATAAAGAAAAGGCTGCATAATGTGCGAAGTTGGAAATTCTACAACTCCTCCTCCCCCCTTTCCCTATGAAACTGCTTTAACAGAGTGTTGCATAACAAGTTCGAAGACATCACAGCCGATCAGAATTTGAAATGTGAGCTCTTCTCTGTGAGCCTGTGTTGGACTACACTTAGGGACATCTGATGGCATGGGAGCCTTCCTAGCCCTTTCTATCCAGTAACAGTTAACTGCCCAATCAGAAGCATTATGGTGCTGGGGTTATTCCCCGGAAGCCTTGTGCAGGCACTATTATCCTTCAACGTGCTGCTTAATGAGGTGTGTGTCAAAGACAGGCAGCTTGTACCACATGACAGACTTCATTACCTGGGAGAGACTACTCAGCTAGACTTAACCAGGTGTGCTTTAAAAATAACCCTAAATAACTTACAATTCTCTCTTAAAGTCCCTGTCCCCTTCAGAGGACACATTTTCACAATCTGAAATCCTATGATGAAAAGCAAACCGTGGTGAGAAGTTTCCTGCCTGAATTCGCCCATTTCTGACAGCATTTATTTGGTTGAGATATATGAAACAGGCTGAGGGGAGAAAACAAAACAAAAGCAGACAACTCACCCACACACCCTTGCCCATCCTGTGGGGCTTGAAAGCCCTGATAACAGAGGCAGCGGAAAGAGCCAGCTGTGTTGTCACAAAACCCATGACTGTCACACACAGTGTTGTTTACACATTCATCAATATCTGCAAAAAGAGACATTGAACATGAGAGAGGAGTAAACAGACGATGAATACCAGGTATGGGATGGATAAGCAAAGGCACTGTTACAGCACGATTAGACGGGAGGATCATGTTTACACAAAAAGAACTCTGAAAACACCACACACGTTAATAAAATGCTTTGATGAAAATGGTTTAGTAGCTAAAATAGTGGGGTCTATGAGAAAACATTGACTTTTCCCCAGGAGATATTTTCACAATGAAATGACTGCCACAATAAGCCACGACCAGTATTTTTTAAATGTTTGCAAGTGTTTATTTTCAAAGGCAGCTTTGTTTTCCTACAGGCAAAAGTGCTGTCACCTCTTAAAACTTATTTCTTTTTTAAAGGTATATCGCCATTATGCAAAATAATGGGCTTCCTGGTAACAATGCCGTAGATGCATATCGTGCTCTTTGTTCGTATCCACCCGACCATTAACCCCTCCAAACAGTTATTCTTCTACTTCCATTTCCATACTTATACATATACATATACATAATGTATGTATGTATGTGTGTATACTGCATATGAGAGAAAATACATGGTATTTTTCTTTCTGAGCCTGGCTTATTTTAGGTAACATGACAATCTCCAGCTCCACCTATTCCTGAAAATGACATCATTTCTTTCTTTGGGTGGCTGAACAAGACTCTATTGTGTCATACGCCATATTTTCTTCCATTCATCTGTTGATAGACAATTAGGCTGGTTGTGCAACTTGGCTATTGTAGCTAATGCTGCAGGAAACAAGGACATCCAAATATGTCACGTGTTGACTTAGGGCCCTTTGGGTATAGATGGAGTCATCCTACCTGGGTCATATAGTTCTGTTTTTGAGGAACCTCTGTGGATTTCCACAGTGCCTGGACTAGCTGACATTCTCACGGGTAGCATATAAAGAATCCTCACCCTTCACCCACTGTATACTTGCATGGTATTTGGTATTTGTTTTCTCGATCATGGCCTTTCTGACTTGGGTAACGGGGAATCTTAACACAGTTTTTTTTTTAAAGATGCGTACTTACTTTTATGTGTATGAAGAGTTTCTGCCTCTGTGTGTGCGTGTGTGTGTGTGTGTGTGTGTGTGTGTGTGTGTGTGTGTGCCCGTGTATGTGGATGCAGTGCCCACGCAGGCCAGAAGATGGCATCAAGTTCCCTGAAACTGGAGCTGCATATGGTTGGGAGCTACCATCTGGGCGCTAGGGTCTTCTGAAAGAGCAGCCTGTGCTCTTAACTACTGAGCCATCTCTCTCCAACCCCCTCAAATACAGCTTTCATAACCACTTTTGAGGGAGAGGGGATATAGTAAGTGCTAAAAAAAAAAAGCTCCAACTGTGGAGTTGTAGGAGGGTAAAAACAATGGTTTACTCAGCCATGTAGATGACTATGACTGTGTTAAAGAGAGGATCTGATGAGCCAGGCTGCCCAGCTACTTATGAGAAAAACTACATGTCACCAAGTTACAGCTACTTACCATCCCAAATGCCAGTTACCCCACAGGATTACCTACACTGGAGCTCACACTCAGTGACCTTGCACTTAACCACATTAATTAACATGTTCTTATAAAATGTCTTACAACAAACTTCTAGCTAGAGTCCTTCTTCATCTTTCAAGGGACCGTGTCCATAGTCCTTCCCTTCCCATTTTTAATTAGCTCCCATGCACATTTCCAGGTACCACACTCTCTGCTCTTTCTACCTCAGAACTCAGCAGCCCACCATACACAGGGTTTTGGAGAAACAATTAAGTATACATGAAAAAGAATTTATTTTCAGTGTAAAATGATGGATCAGGTACAAATCACACAGGGAATGGCAAGTTAAGCACCACACAGCAAGGTTTACTTTGGGAGGAATGGACCTTAGTAAGAGTGAGCATCTCTCTTCCGAAGCCATGGAGCTAAGTTGTAGGACAGAAGAAAAAGAAGATACATCCAACAACTTTTCTTACTTCCTTTCCACATTGTCCAACACTGATACTGCTGAGAATAAAATCCGGCTGTCTCATATTTCAATTGGAACATGTAAGTTATTAAATTACAGTTTCCTTAACTTGCTTTTCTCAATTTCACGAAAGCTGTCCCTTCTGCTTTCAGAGCTGGGCCGCTCTCATCCTGACTGCTCTGTGCTCACCCTGGTCCACCTCTTCATCCTTCTCAGGCATTTTCAGTCACTCTTCTCCCTGCTCCTCCCCACACTGCCTTTGAAGTGTTCTTATCACTTGGAAAAGCTGTCTCATAATCTCACCTCTGTCTGCTACTCTTCTCTGGAACTGATGCAAAATGTCTTGTCAGAATTGTCTACACTCACTGCCTTATTTTCTGATGTTACCATCCTTCTGCATATGCAATTGCTTTCCAAACCCAGGGATGCCAATTCCTTCATATGAACTAGCACTGTATTTGCAAAGAACCCACACCTATCCACATCCACACATCTTCTCTTATACTTAAAATTATTTGATTTTTAGATTTGTTTATTTTTATGTGCATGGATGTTTTGCCTGCACAGATGTATGTGCGCCACAAGTGTGCCTGGTGCCCACAGATGTCAGAAGAGGGTGTAGGTTCCCATGGAATATGGAGTTATAGATTATATGGAGTTCACTAAGGTGTTAGGGATCAAACCCAGATCATTTGCAGAGCAAGGGCTCTTAACCACTGAGACATTTCTCTTACCCCACTCCACTCTCATGTTTTCTAATACCTCTTTTTATTCTTTCAGTGTTGCTATAGATTCCAGGACCCCATGAATGCCAGGCAGGTACTCTACCAGTGAGCCACCATTCCCAGCTCATCCCACAGACTCCCTGTGGCATCCAATGCATTGCACATTCCATACAAACAGTTGTTACACTGCATTGTTGCAGGGCTAACAGCAAGAAGATGGTCCGAATGTGCTCAACACAGATGAGACTTTGTCAAATATTTTGAAGCTGCTCATAGCTGAACTTGAGAGCATAGAAATAACAGACACATCTTTATCCGGTATTCAGGAATGACGGCAAAGGTATGCAATACAATATCCGTGTGTCCCAACAATTACTACGAAGATTAAACAAGCCTCTGCAAAGCACTACCTTAGGAACATAAAATGCTAGAAGAACCTGTCACATGTCAACCATCACCATCATTGCCATTCTTCATCCCCAGTGACCTGAAATCTCCCTAACTTTGTCCCACTGAAACACAGATGCTACAATCAGTGTTATTCCATTATACCTGAGTCTCAGGTCAGCCCCATGGCCTCTAAGTCTAGTGACCACCCATACCTTGAACACTTCCTAGGTTCAAGAACATTGTTCTTGATGCACCTTCCACGGCCTGCAGGCTCAGAATTCCTGGGATCTACTGCATGCTAGCTTTCCCCATCTTCCCCTCCCAGATGCTAAGCTTCAACTACCAGAGTCCTTGGGGTGAAAGACTTTTGTCAACCACAATCCTTCCCCCAACTACACTTCTTATTCTCAACTGTTTCTGTTTGGTTTTCTGTCGTCACCTTTATCAAACCTAACAGCTGAATTTAAACAGAGAATGTCAAGCCTCTTCCTGACATGGGTGAGTATTTTCTCTCATTTGCATTCTCCACTTTCATCTATCCTGTCTCCCTAACCTGAACAGGAAACTCAGTGCGATCATTTCACATCTGAACCAGCAAATCCTCCTCATGGCATCTAATGCAGCAAATCGATTGCACCAATCTGAATGCCCACACAAAGCTGGGATTATGGCTGGTTTACTGATTGTAACCGTGAGGAGGAATTCTTTCCTGTCGCTGACTCACTTAACACGGGCCACTGCTAACTTTGGAATTCTTGAAGTGGGCGTCTGTCAAAGAGATTGTGTTGCTCTTTGCACTGCAGGCTTGTGGGGGCTGCAAGTTCAGCAAGTTTTCAGCTACCATTCACATGCTGACGGACTCCCAGTCTCTCTCAAAGCTTGAGCTCTGTCCTGTTGAAACATTTATCTTAGACCAAATAGACATGTCAGTGACAAATGAACTTGATATCACTGCCCTCCAAACAACAGCTCTGTCTCTCCCATATACCCTTCATCATCAATTCCAGCCAGACCCTCATGCCAGAAATCTTAACGCCAGCCTCCCCCTCCTGCTGTGCTTTCTGAAACTCCCTCTTGCTGCCCTACCCTATCTCTTATCTTCCTGGATACTCCTTATACTCCAGGTGGCTTCCATATCTCCATTCTTGCCCTCCCTCTAACCCAGTGGTCCTCAACCTTCTTAACACTGAGACTCTTTAATACAGTGCCTCAAGTTGTGGTGACCCCAACCACAAAACTATTTTCATTGCTATTTCATAACTGTAGTTTTGCTACTGTTTTGAATCGTAATGTAAATATTTTTTGAGGTAGAAGTTTGCCAAAGGGCTGGTGACCCGCAGGTTTACAGCTGTGGTAATCCACTCTCTACCTAACTGTTGCTAGTATGCTCTTTGGAAAACACAAGCCCATCCATGCCATTCCGTTGCTTAAAATGTTCACCATCTCTTCTTGGCTGGAGCACAAGGCTTCTGTTATCTGGTTCCCAGCTACATGCGTGGTAGCTGTTCTCAGATAGTCTTCTCAATTTGAATTCCAGCCCCGTGGGTGAACTAGAATGGAGTCTCGCTGACCTTAAGATGGAATAAACTCCTTGCCTGACTGTGTCTCCCCCGCCTATCTTTGCTCAGGAACTCATGCTGACCCTTCCAGAGTCAGCCTAAGGGGCAGCTCCGCTGTGGCCACTCTCGTAACTACTCCAGAGACGGATATTAGGCCATGTCTCTTTTTTCTATGCACATATTAGGCTTGAAGGGATGGGGAACCTTCAACACACCCTCACCAGCAACTTATTTCTTTACTGAAATGGGAAGGAAAGGGAATCCAGCTACTTCTGGCTTCTCAGTCCAGATTCTTAAAATTAGATATCTCGCTTTCCTTTTCATTAATTCCATGCAATTCCAGCAGAGAATGGTCTCTCA